TCTTAATTAGTTTTGGTTTGAAATCTACTTTGTCTGCAAATAAGATTGCTACCCCTGCTTTTTTCTGGGTTCCTGTTGTGTGGAGAACTGTTTTCCATCCTTTTACTTTCAGTCTATGAATTTATTTTGAGTGAGGTGTGTTTTTTGTATACAGCATATTGCTGGATTTTGCTTCCTAATCCATTATGTTTCTTTTGATTGGCAATTAAGGCCATTAATATTGATAGTTATAATTGGCAAATATTGACTCACCCTTGTCATAAAGTTTTACTGTTGTTGGCTCTTTTATTTCTTTTTTTCCCCCCTCTTTCCCTCTAGTATCTTACCTTACCTGGTGGCTTCCCCCTTGCCTGGTGGCTTCCCTCTATTGGGCCTCATGGAGTTGTGACCTTCATCGTCTTTTTCTAGGATATTGCTTAGAATTGTTTGGAGTGTTGGTTTGGTGTTCACGAAATTTCTCAGATGTTCTTTGTCGTGGAAGTATCTAATTTCCCCATCGATTTTGAAAGGTAATTTTGCAGGATACAACAGTCTAGGTTGGAAGTTATTTTCTTTTAGGGCTTGAAATACTTCACTCCAGGCTCTCCTTGATTTGTGGGTTTGTGTTGACAAGTCTGCCATGATTCTGATGGGCTTTCCTTTGTAGGTGATTTGTTTCTTTTCTCTAACTGTCTGTAGGATTTTGTTCTTCTGCTGGGTTTCTGGAATCTTGACTATTATATGTTTAGGTGTAGATTTTTTTTGATCATGGCTAGTTGGAGTTCTACATGCCTCATTTATCTGTATGTTCAATTCTCTACCTCTGTCTGGGAAGTTTTCTACTATTACTTCTGTGAACAGTTGTTTTTATGTCAATTGTACTTTCTCCTGTTTTTTCATTGACTTCTATCAATCTTATGTTATTCCTCCTTGCATCATCTAGCAGCTGCTGGATTGATTTCTCATAGTCCCTTACTATTTTTTAGAAATCTCTGTTTTCATGGTCCTTAACCACAATCCTGTCTTCTGTATCTGATATTCTATCTTCAGATTCCCTTAATCTGCTTTGCATGTTTTCATTGGAGTTTTTAATCTCCTGAATATGTTGGAATCTGTTTCATAGATTCCATTTCTTTCTTATGTTGGGCGATCATGGTTTCCATTTCTTTCTTATGCTGGGCATTCATGGCTTCCAGTATATTTCTGAGTTCATCTATTTCTTTATCTGTTTCTGTTCTAGATCCTCTAATCATATCTTTCACTCTGCTCACAATCTCTGTAGATATCTGGGAGATTATTTCTGCTTTGAATTTTTCTAGAGCCTTATTCGTCTGTTTTGTTACTTCCTGTGCTATCAATTCAGGGTGTCCAGGTGATTGATTATCAGACTTTTCTACCTCGTTTCCCCCAGAATTTTCCTTTTGTGGGGTGGAAGTCTGAGTTTGTGCCTTGCTTAAATGTCTTCTCATTTTTATTTTTGGTACTGTCCTTAGTTTAGTTCCTGGGTTGATACTTTGAAGTTGCTTATTGTAAGTATCTTTGTTGAGGTATTTAGAACCCTTATGGAATGATTGCTTCTTAGAGGTGTCTTCCAGATATAGGTGGTCTTTAGGTTTTGAGTCTCTAATGGCTCTGAGGCTGTCTCATTTTCATTATACCAGGAAGGACAACTGATTAGATCAATCACAACGCCTTAGCCCAAGTGATACAATCAGCAACACCATAGCATCAAGTACATCTTAGAAAATGATAATTTGTGGCAGTTATTAATCTATCTCCTTTAACTGTGTGAATTAAATCAAAATCAAGGAGCAATCCAATATATGTTTATAGTGAATAAACTCTTCAATACAGCAACTTTACCCTTCAGAATGGGGAGTTAGAAGGAGTTGGCGAGGGAGGGATAGGTAGGAGGAAGAATAGGGGAAGGTTAGCAGTGAGGCCTGAGGACACAGATGAAAGAAGGAAAGAGGAGAAAAGAAAAATAAAGAAAAAATATGAATACGGCCAGAACAGGAACACAAAGGGAGATGAAGAACAATGTGGAACACCAAGGGAGTGAGGGAGAGAGGGAGAGAAAGAAAAAAGAAGGAAAAGAGAGAAAAAAATTTTTAAAGAGTAGAAAAGGAAGAAAAAAATTAAAAATAAGAGCAAAAAAACAGTAATTTTGAAAATAACCAATAAAAGATAAAAGTGAAGGGCCTCCTTCAGGGTATGTCTCTGCTGTCACAATAGACAACATGGGCAGCAGTGTGCAGTTACAAGTCAATGAGTGTCAGTAAGCCAGTCACAGACCCAAGAGATTCGGGCAGATTCTGGCTACAAGTCCCAAGTTGAGCTCCCTGTCCTCCTGCAGGGTTGAACTCTGCAAGGTTCTACTGCAGGTTCCAGCTGCCCTTCCCCTGAAGATAGTCCAGGTTCCAATGGGAGGTGATGATCCCTCCAACTTACCAAGCACAGGGGTCTGGTGTGCCTTTATTGTAGAGATTCTCTTCACTTTTCCAGTGGGCTTCAATTTTCATCAGGGAGCCTGAGAGAGGCCCTCTCTCTGCTGTTCACTTCTGCAGCTCAGGACAATGGCCTTTATGTCCCCCTGTGCCTCTGTAGTGTGGAACCAGGTAGCTGCACAGCCAAGCAGGTGCCCACACAGCTCCACGCGTGGCTGGTGGGCATGCCCAGGAGTCCTCACCGGCTCCTGGTTGCAAGTGCGCATGGCCTGCCAGACAGAGCTGGGCTCAGTCAGCCCAGAGCGTTCTGCCCGCACGGCTCTACCCACACAGCTCTGTGGGCAGCTCTGACCATCTTTTTTGTCTGTAGCCAGTCTGGAAGAGGAAGAAGCTCCGCATGTGCTCTCAGCTGGGGTTGCACAACACACCAGTGTCATTGGGCTGTCCCAAACTGGGCCAGCTACAAAATAGACAGCAATCAATCCTGTGTGGTCAATGCGCCAATTATATTTCTAGTACAAATGATACCATGTCAGATCACAGCAACCATGAATAAACTTACAACTGTTTCTCTTACTTTGCTCAGTTTCTCTGTGTGGATTCTCTCCACAGCTGAAACTTCTAATCAGATCATAATGGCTGAGTGCTCTGAACAAGGAAAGATTAGTAGGGTCCCAAGCACAGCCTTTCTGGAAACAATTTTTAATTACTTTGACTTTTCAATTCTTGATCCATAGTCCATAAAAAGGAAAAGAAAAAAAACCAACTATTTCTAAAAAATGAGCTTCAGTCTCTATCTGCCCAGTTGGAATAGCTACCAAACCACCCTGCTAGTCATCTGTTATAGAATTAACATGGTGGCACCCATGCTCCTGTTGATGAGCCTCTAATATCCCTTCCAGATCCCCATCTTCTTCATGTGTGCTGTACCTTATGGAGAAATAAAGGCACTGATGGGATCACAAGCCGAATAGAGAGCAGCCTTCCTGGCAGCTCAGCCTGCAGATTTGCAGGCTGCTGCTTAACCAGGAACTGGTTGAGGAAGCACACACACATACAAACACACACACACACACACACACACACACACACACATTCTCTCTCTCTACCCAAGTATTTCAAGCTTATGGAATTGTTTGACCAGCATGTCTACTTCCTTTTTGTTCACAGACCAATATTCTTTATGAATGTAGCCACAAAAACTCAACAAAACATGAGCAAATCAAATCCAGCAACATACAAAAATAGTATTATATACCAGGGCCAACTGGGATTCAAATGTCCCAGAAATGCAAAACTGGTTTATATGAAATCACTTTACATGAATAAAAGAAAGGACAAAAGCAAGAACAAGCATTCTACGAAATCTAACACCTTTCATGGCTCTGTGGCTGGTGGCACCTGCTGCGTGACACTGAAGGAGTATTTTCATTTGTATAATCCTTGGCCCTTTACCCTTAGGTCTCCCAGAAAGAAATGCTTCATCCCCTTCGTGATAGAGTCTGAAAAAGGCAGCAGCCCTACCAGCCCTCCAGACACCCAAGGCTCAAGCTGCTTCAGACATAGTGGATGTAGCAGAGGACCAAGAGAACAACCAAGATTATCCCACTGGCACTGACCATTCCCCTACAAAAAGGGCTTTCCAACATTCAGCAGGGCTTTTTCAATATGTCACCCACTCTGTATCTTTCATCTTCTCCTTGCTGCTTGCTGCCTCCAAAGCCAGGACATCTGCACTTTCCGAAGTGTCACCATGCTCCATCTTATCCTTGGTTGCTTCCATCTCTTCAGTGCCAGAGTGTTCACTTCTTGGAGTAGAAAATGATCAATTACCTGAACACCTGAGCCACCCTACTGGGAAGGCGAGGATGGTCTCTTTCTCTTCCTGCCTGCCTATCACTTTGGGAAAGTGATACATGTGTGAAACCAAAGCTCACTTCACTTTCAAGCTCTCGAACCCTACATGTAATTGATGGTGGTTTTCTTTCTCTTCCTTAAACACAACTCATTGTTGTATATTTTTACAATGAAGACTGTTCCTTCTACATACATTACATAGAAAAAACATTAGATTATAGTCCCTCAGGGAAACACCCACCTCTCAGTTGTCACCAAGTCCTTAGTCCTGCATCTGGGAATGCCCAGGACTTTTTCAGGAACAACGCCTCTCAATTCAGCATTAGAAAGCTTAACTGCAGGTGACTGCAAGCCAACCTCTGTGCTGACTTTTCCAGAGTTTCAAGCTTGAGTTTTGTTAATACAGCTTTTATGAGCCTTAACATGATTTAAAAGTCCAAGATTCAGTGAGAAATTTACTTTGCTCTTGCATAATTCACAGAACAATAAGGACACTAAGCATCCTGAGGAAGAAGAGGCTGGCTTTCTTTTCATGGCAGAAATAAACCTGCCGCTGTTGATGTCACACAGAACAAGGAGTCCAAAATGAGCACATGCTCACAGCAGCAACTACCTTGAGTCATTTCATATGTTTTGCCCACCCCACAAATATGGTGATTTTGAACAGACGATCTTCCCCACTGGGGCCCTAGTGACTGGGACCCCCAAGGTGCTTACCTGCCACAAAATCACCAAAGCCCACTGTGGTCAGAGTGACCACCACAAAATAAATGGACTCCAAGGCTGTCCATCCCTCGATGTATTTGAAAATGACAGCAGGGATTGTCACAAACACAACGCAGCCAGCCAAGATGAACAGGATGGTGGAGATGACCCGGATCTTGGTCTGGCTCACTTGCTTTTTCTACAAAGAGCAAAGGAGAAAGATTGATAGGCAGATCAGAGTCTTCACCTGGATTCAGAAGACAGATGTACAGAAAAACATGCTGTCAGTGGTTTTTCACATTTCTTTAGTCATAGGCTGCTTGATAGAAATCCAGTGAAAGCTGTGAACTCTTTCCTAGAAAAATGCACAGAATTTTCAGGTGGCCTAGGAGGTTCTCTGACTCCTACAAGTCAAAACTTAGCTCATACTTTGAACATCCCTTGCATGATTCTGACTCCAGCACAAATACTGATTCTAAGTTCCTCAATGGTACAAACATAGCTATTTCCCAAGGAGGGTTTGTTGTCATTTTACATGTACCATTACTGACTCTCCATGGGAGGTAGGGGCAGAAGTTTGACGCTCTTTTTACAGTGACAGTGATAGATTTGCACCCAGGTTCTCTCGCATCAAAGACCTGGGGGGAAAATGACCTGAGCCAGGCCAAAATGTGTGGGTGAAAAGAAGATCACACCATCACCATGTAACACTCCAGTAACAGGCTGCAGCCAGACACTGGTGTGTTTCTGCACACTCATTCCCACTGCAGAAGCTGTACATTTATCACTCCTTTGTTTTAAAACATGCTTGTTTAAGCTAATGCTGTAGCGGTCATGTTTGTTGGTTGCATTACCCACAAGACAGGACAGAGTGACAGGGTCACTATCTAAAGCAGCAGTAGGAGCTTCATCTCGTGCCAGCTTCTAAGGGTCAGCAGCTAGTTAGTAAAAATGCATTAAGAATCAGAATTAGATACTGGAGCAAGGGAACAATGCCAAGGATCCAATAGGTGGCCAAGAGGCATCACTGGTAAGCCTCATCGATGCACTGGAGACTCCTGCATTGCCTCTAAGCAATAAGAGTCCAAATCTTCTCAAGCCTAGGTACCAGAGACTGACATCAGGAGCCCCCAGTTCCATACAATAGCAGAATACATGAAATATATGTTTAATACTAGAGTACATGGCCTATCTACATTGCCGAGTTTGGGTTGTGGTGCAGCACACCACACTGGAGACAATCAATACAGGAACTTGATACCATACAATCTGCTTCCTATTCATTGTCTTCTGGTCAGTCAGAAGGGAAAGAATCTCAGTGCACAGAGAGGACTTTCCTCTCATATACTTCATTTTACTGATCCAGAAGAGAAGCCAAGAGGGGTTAAGGGACTTGCAGAAAACTGATACTGCTACTTAAAGGCAGGTCCAAGATTCGAATTCTGATGTAATTAACTCTCAGGCCTGCGCTTAATGATGGAAACAGCGTTTCAAGTTATTCAACAATTTACCAGCTCAAAGCTGCCAAATGAAGTTGTGTTTCCCTAACACAAGACACCAGACTCACTCCCAATGAAGGACAGGCCTTCCTGTGTCCCTGCTGGGGAGGAAGACTGAGAATAAAACAGTCACTGGGTGATCTGTCCAGGAAAGGGTACAGAAGTCTAGAAAGGAGCCACATGCTCTGACTCCTCAGAGGGTGCTCAGTATACAAAGTAGAAAAGAGGAAAATAATTTGATATTGTTGAAACATCCTATGAAAATATGAGTCTTTCTCTACATATGAAATTATCATGACAAGATTAATCGCTTGAGAACCAGAGGAAATATTTTACCCATTTCATGAATTGCCATGTTAGGTAATACGGGAGGACATTCTGGGGGCACTGGAGCCCCTCTGAGAATCTAGGAACTTACTAGCCAGGTTATGTCCACAGACACGCAGGAAAAGTCCAAAGCCAGAAAAGAAGATGTCACCATAGACCATTAAGTGAATCTAATTGCTAGCAATGGGAAAACCATCTCCCCCTCCATAAATTGTGCTCCTGAAATGCATAATGAAATTAGAGCAAATTAAATGTTTGTGAGAACTTGTTAAGTCATAAATTAGGATGCGAATGCAATTGCAATCTAAATGAGGTTGAGGTTGGCAAAGAAGGGCTGTCAGCACGTGGAAAGCTGGAGATCTGCCCAGGCTCCCTGAGATGGGCAAAGGGAAGATGGTGAAGGGCAGGATTCAGTCTGGTGGAAGAGAACACCGCATGTAAGAGGCCGCACAATGGTGACTTCATTGCATTATCTACTGCAAGTGTATCGGCAAGGCAAACATTTCTCCTCTGAGTTCCTGGGCTACTTGGAGCATTTAATTATTTGGGGTATTTGAGGAAGTTCAAAAATAAGTAGTGCGTGTGTGTGTGTGTGTGTGTGTGTGTGTGTGTGTATGTTCACACATGTTTAGGTGTGTGTTGGTGTCTGAAAATATGTGTATACCCAACTTCATTATAAAAAGAAAAGGCATGAGTCTAGGGCTTTAGCAATACATATCTGTTATTCTGGACACTTATGCTTTTGCTGCCCTTGAGATCAACAACAACAACAACAACAAAACAACTGCCTCAACTGAACATTTTTAAACTGTAGCTTTCATCGCAGAACCACAAACCATCTCACATACCACACAATGATCCTCAGGTCTCTTTCCCCCATTAGCTCTACAACTTCACCCTTGGTGTAAACGGTGTGCAAGAACACAGGCTGCCTGAGACACAACCTGTGCCCGCTGCTAAAGGACCGAGTGACCTCATATCAGTCTCTCAAACTCTCTGCACATTAGTTTCATCTTCAATAAAATGGGGATAAGAGAACCAACCTTGTAGGGTTGTTGGAAAGAGTAAGGGTGTACAAACGCTTAGTGCAGTGCTCAGTGATTAACAGGCACTTTAATATAAAGTTCAAACCTTGGCTTAAATGTAGGCAGACCCTGATTTAGTACCTCTCTTGCTGCTGAGGAATGCGCCCTCATATCTGTCTTAACATAATCTCTGTTTAGCTTCAGGAGATCACTGTTGGTTTTCCCTTGCTGAATACATTATCGCATACAATTACCTCACTTTCAATAAGGGAAAAATCCTCATTCTCCCTTGGCTTTTCAGTGCCAATTCCAGATTAGGCTCTCAGACAGTCTGTTTACAATCTGGGAAGCTTTTTTATTTGCCTTTCAATTCATTTCCCCCTCGCTTTCATCCTCCTTCTGAAAGTGCTATGAACTGCAGATAATGCCTGGGATGTCGTGGGGAACCAGCTGCAGAGAGGCCCTCGTTCTCCCTGCTTCCCCAAGCCCGCTGCGCTGTCTGCAATTCTCAGTCGTGTTCCACACCGCTCACAGAACACAGCCAGCCTTCCCAGGTGGAGTTGCCAGGCAAGATCATTTGATTAGACACCTGTTAGCAGAGGAGCCAGCAGAAAACTTTGTGAGAGTCCAGACCTAACAGAGCTCACGTGTGCTTAGGCTAACAAAACTGGTGTCTGGGAAGAGAAGGTCTGATCTGCCCCGATCCAAGGCAGAAACGGCAGGATGCTTATGCGTGTCAGTCCCTACCTTGTCTTCACACCGTTGATTAGTTGGAATAGATGATATGTTCTTCCTGGCTCCTTACGCAAATAGAAACTCACAAAACTATCTCCCCTGGCCAAATGGGGATGAGTACAGGAATTTCTGAAGAACTCAGAACCCATCTCCCCGAGGGTTTATTTAGTTGTCAAAAATTATATATGCGATTATTCCAAGGAGCAAATAAGCTGCATAAACAGTAGGGGAGCCACTCTCAGAGCTCCCCATCGAGAGAGGGCTGTATGCTCCAATAACTCTACAAGTGCTCACTAGTTTCAGACCTCAGAGGGCTGAGCCACATGTCCAATTATCACTGAGCAGAAATCCCTGCCTGTTTTTGTTTACTTCCACAATGTAAAGTTAGAGAGCAAATATATTTCTCTTCATCTCTGAGCCATTGTTTTCATTTTATTTTTCCTCCTCTCTAATACCCACTCTTCTTTCTGTTATTTCTTAGAATTCTGACGTTACCCATCCAGATTGTTTTGTCTGGCTGAGAAATATTTTTGGGGGGTGTGTTTTTTTTTTTATAAACAGGACCTTGAAGATTTTATCCAAAGATACTGCAATAAAAATTCTAGGACAGGAGCTAGATATGCAGAGCCCTAGTTTATAGTTTAGTTTGGTTTTGCTGAAATGCAAACATGTCACCATGGTAATTCAAATGAACCAAAGTTAATTTCTCAAAATGGAAAGATAACAGGAACTGGCTCACAAAGGACAGATGTTATTTCCTTATACTATTATGTTTTCTTCAAAGATTTCTTCTATAAGGTCCACTTATAACGAATAGTGTCAAAATCCTAACAAATAACCATGAAGCACCAGCAATTCTATAAACTTGAGGACAGTTTTTAAATTTCATTGCCTATAATCTCCATTGGTAGAGACATTCTAAACACACATTACTGAGAACATTGTAGTAAAATCTCCATGGAGACTACTGAAAATGTCCTACTCAAGAGCTGAATAAACAAACAGATCACATCTATATGGAAAGAGTTATAGCCCTCTGATTCTGAGTCACGTTGCAACATACAACAGCTCTGCTGTTAACACCATGCAAAGTTTTTGAGAAAGATTTTGGTATATACGGCTACTATTTTTATCTTTGGATTGTCATTGTAGGTCCTGGGATGGAGAAAAATTAACATTTACAAATAATTAAAACTCTTAGCTTTTCTATTCCAGGAAGACTTTAACTAAAAATCTTTGAAATCTGGTGGCTATTAACATTAAAGATAATACACCCCTAGGAAAAAAGTTTTGCATTTAAAACTCAACTAGTTAATTCATAATTCGTTTAGCACGTAATTATTAAGAACTTCTATATGTCAGGCATTATTAGGGTTGCAAGAGACACAGCAAGAGGGAGGGAGGAGGCAAGCAGAGGGAGGAGAGACGGAAGTTTCGCTTCATGCACACAACACAAAGTCTGGTGGCCAGAGGCAGGGAAGAAACACCGGAGTCTTCAGCTAAAAAGTCTTTGTGGGCTCTGTCCATGGTGTCTTGTCTTGGTAACTAATGAAGGCAAAGTTTTGCACCTAAAGACAAAATCCCAGTGATAAAATACATTACCTAGGAGAAAAGAAAGAAAAGAATAATATTGTTGGAGCTCTGGACTCTGTCTACCATAATAGGTTGGATCTTTGTTACCCAACCATTTGAAAGCAATGTTCCAAAGGCTGGAACAACACACAGGCAACCACACCAGATATAAAAGCCAGGTTCTCCAGTAATGATGCAGTACAGTAATATTAAGCGTTAATCTGTCATCTCCTTTCCTTTATTTCCTCATTAGTTCATACCCCAAGTGGGAAAGAAGATATGCTTCTATCTGGCTCTTTCAAAGACACCAACATCTCAACATCCTCCCCTACGATACCTGGTACTACAATTAAAAAAAAAAAATTGCAGCAGGAAGAGTTACATGCACCTGTGGCTCTGAGTCACCTTGCAACATATAACAGATTGGCCAGTGCAGTGCTCTGCTGGTTTCACTATGCAAAGGTTGGTTTTGGTTTTGGTTTTGTTTTTAGTTATTTAAACTTTTATTTTGTAGTTAGCAACCGTGGAAAGAGATATTCACATCAGGAATCAAAATAGGAAGGAGATCCCAAAATACCTGAGTTTTCCTTTACTCATTTGGCTCCGGAGGTTAGACCATCCCAACTCTAACCAAAGCCTACTTTACATCCTGATCCCAATCATACTGGCTGTAAACTGGCTTCACTTCATCCGAGGGTCTCACTGGGTCTCATTCACACATTCTTCAAGCCCAGGCACCCTTTGCTTCTGCTCTGACAGTGCTACTCAGCCACAGACTGAGCATCCACTTGGTCTAGAGCATATCTAAATAGGAGCTATAAATCATGATCTCAGTGATGTCTGAAGATTCTAGAACCTTGCTTGAGTCTGGCCTTGCAAATTTGCTCAATGAAAGGGATTCAGTATCTGTGTGGGCCAAATACAGCTTCCAACAATGATTTCTGGGTCTGGAACACCTCTGGATCTTTCAGGTCTCTCCACCAGAGGTTTTAAGAATGAATTTGGATTATTCCACTGCAAAGGAGAAAAGTGTTCAGACCATCTGCTGTGCACCAAGCTTGCCTACCAGGAAGGCCACTGTTGCTGAAGGCATTTTCCTTTCAGGAAGCGAAGAATTGGGAAAGCCCTTAAGGAACACTTTTTCTCATCCTTCCTAGCTATCTCTTAGCCATGTGACTGTTTCCTGGAACCAGCATCCAAGAATACTGAGAAAGTGTGAGAGAGAAGCTGCCATGTTCCCCCCACCCTGTGCTCAGGTATGGGTAACTTGGAGGGAAGGCACTTGTGAGCTCCTGGTGGGCTGCCTGGAATGACTCCCTGTATGTCCAGGAATAAAAGTAAGTAGAAAATAGCTGTGCATTTTCCATGGCTTTATTTATTTTGCCTGCTAGAAAATTTGAAGAAGGCTTCCAAGATCATCCATATTTACATCAGTATCTGTAAAATGCCCATGTATTATTAGATAAATGATAAGCAATCCCCTCCCCAATAGTTCCTTCTTTCCCTCCTTCCTTCCTTCCTTCCTTCTTTCCTGAGTGCTTTTTAATGTAAGTAGACATAGGGATGTTTATCTACATAAAGCTATGAAGAATGATGAATTAGGCATTAAGGAATCTTATCAGGAAAAGATGTATGACCTAAGAAGAAAGCAATGAGAAGCAAGAAAAATTAAGAAAGTCTTTAAGAAGAATAATTTAAGATCATAATTGCAAAAAATATTTTGAGGTATAGAAAGCAGAGAAGAAACAATGGTTTAAGGATATAGAATTCTTCTGAAGGTATAAGAAGGCTTCTCTAAGCAAGCATATGATTGTTTCCGGGACAGAAATAAAATGAAGAAAGACCTGTGAATTAACTTTTCAGACTGGTAACATGTTAGATAAAAAGAAGACATAGCTTTGTAGAAAGTCATGATGAAATAAGTCATAAACTATGAAGTCCTGCATTGAGGAAACTCAATAGAAGGCTCAAACTGAGAAAATTTCTTTAGCAAGGTATCTTCCAGACTATGAATAAAAGTTGAGCTCTGGGCCAGGGATTTAGTTCAGTGGTGCCACCACCTGCCTCACAAGCGCAAGGTCCTGAGTTCGATCCCCGGTACCAAAAAATTAATAAAAAATAAAAATGAAGTTGAGCTCTACAACTTTTCTATTCTTCCTTTCAATAAGCATTTATCATGCACCTACTCAGGTACTGTGCTAACTCCAGAATGGCTGCCAAGCTTAAAGAGCTAGAGGAAGTAAGACAAGCATTAAATGATCACACAAGCAAATATAGAATCATACAACTTGCTATAAAGGGAAAAAGAGCCCAGAGTGCAACCCATGATGATGCTGTTAAACTCTTTGACTATCAGAGACTCCCTTATACAGTGTCCATACTTCAAGACTTCCAAATTGTAGTAAAAAAAAGTTGTTGCAAATGAGCCAAGACAAAGGATTAATGGTGGAGAGAAATAACCTTGCAAGGAAACGAAGGAACTCCCAGTGAACCTGGACTTTGTATCTATTGGCTGCCTTCTGCTCCTGACAAAGTTTCGCAGGTTGATGCCTCGACATCCTGAGAGATTTTTTCTCTTTGAATCTCACCCAAGTTGCATAGAGATGGAAGTTCCAGTTTTTAAGTTTGCATGAACTGTGGACAGACAAATGAATTCATAACTCATTTGTTTATTTATCTATGACTATTAGGGAGTTGCACTGCTCTTTAATTTGATTAGAATGGATTCAACTAGAATGATTAGACAGAAATCTATTTGGATTCTTCAACACACATAATAAATGTCCCTGTTTTTAGTTAAAAGAATTATATTATATGCAAATCCTCTCACAGAGTTTAATACAATGATTAAAGTGTTTTTACCTTTTGTTAAGTTAGCTATGCATGTGAAGGTAGGTGTGGGCATCACAAGGCTGTGTGGCTCCACAGACCACAACCTCCAAAAAAATAAAGTAGTAAACACTGGTCCACCCTTAGGTAGGACTGCATCACTGCAGATATTTTATTTAGAAAACTATCCTCTTTAAAATATAGTTTTAAAATACAGTGTTCATACAAAGTGGTTAACACGGGCCAGGGATTTAGCTCAGTGGTTTCACCGCCTGCTGCGCAACCACAAGGACCAGAGTTCGATCCCCGGTACAAAAAAAAAAAAAAGTGGTTAGCAGAAGGGTATGGGGTTTTGTTTAAACAGTTCCTCACAGAAGAGGAGAAACAGACCTCAAAGACAAAAGATACTGCAAGTACAATTTGAAAACCGAATTGAACTGACCCTGCATTTTCTAAAGAAAACAGCTGCAACATGCAGTTACTCTTAACGACCATTAACAAAGCTATTCTAGCTCACTAAGCCACACTAGTATCATATTATGATGGAACTGTGCTAATGAGATCACAAGGTATGATCACTTTAGAGGATATTGTTATACCTTCTAACTGCTCATCCTTTGAACCCCCTTCTTTAGTCTGGTGCAAGACAGAGAACTCTCCCTAGTACAGAAGCTGAAAAATACCAGCTACTCACTTCTCCAGCCTCTCTTGCTACACGACACAAGTGCCTGAATTCTGCTTCCCTAACCATAAAGATGTAAGTCTGACTCTGAACTACACTCTTGTGACACAGATGTGATGGGGTTAATCATAAAGTGTTCATCCAATGGTTTTCCTCTGTGTTTTTCTCCTCATTTTTCTCATCGGTCCCCTAAAGATTGCTCCTAAGAGATGGGGAAAGGTTTGCAGAGGCATGAGTGCAGATCACTGCTTCCATCCCCAGAGACAAAATAAGACTGGACCAGAGATGGAGAGAAGACAGAATGCCATTCAGCCTGGAGGGGAAGGGTGGTGGAGAGATGTAGATTTCCTAGAGTCTTCCAGGGCAAAGAACCTCCAGTATCAAGGACCAGAGGGCAAATAGGAAAGGATTAGATGCAGAATTCTCCTCTAGTGTAGGTACTGAATGATCTAGCGTCGTGGCTCTTCCTATGTGCCTTGAAAGTAAAGGACTTGAACACCTGCATGGGGTAGAGACATGGAAGGAGCTGAAGAGCACCAGTTGGCAGCGTCCATAGTGGAAAAGGCTGGCTGGAAACAGTAGACACACCACTGATGTCATGTACGTAAGCAGGGACCACAATGGCATCCCTCCTGGGGTTGGTGGTAGCAATGGTACAAATCTATTCCATTTCAGCAGCATCCTGCACCAGCTGCACAATTTGTGCCAGGCAGACACAGCAGTGGCCTTTTCCAAGACCAATCCTGTGTCCTTATAGGTCATTGTGCTTGGATGGGTGCCTCCAAGTGCTGTTCTCCAGTCATCTCTGGGATTCAGTAGCTATCCAATATCCTTTTTTTAAAGATTCCTTTCTTCTTAAATTAGCCATAGTTGCCTGTTTTCATTGTGAGCTAAGCTGCTTGTCTAAAAGAGCCACTCCTGGAGGTCAGGATAAGCTGGCTCCAACCACTTGGAGGAAGGTCAGGGAGGGGCAGAGCCCAAGTGGACCCCTTGGTGAGAGGCCTGGAATCATGAAATCTGGGAGCATCCAGAACTGTAACCAGATATAACAGAATTACTGTGTATAGTATTTCTCCATCATTCCTAAATCTTAAGTCTTGTGAAGCAACACAGGCAGTCCCAGCTTCCATGTAGAAGGTGTTGCATGTACTCCTGGGAACTAGTGTTATGGGCAGGGGCAGTGTTAATCTCCTCCCCAAAGCCAGCAGGGCAACAGCGCCATCCACTGAGGCAGAAGGGTCTGCCACTTGAGGAAAGAACCAGCAAAACTGGCATGAAAGGTTAGTAGTTAAAGGAAAACTAGCAATAGAGAGAGAAAGATGGTGGAGTAACACAGGGAAAGGCACAGGCTGTGGCCAAGACAGACATGGATGCACACGGTAACAAGTCCTGTGAGTGCCAGAGGCAGGGCAACACGGAAAGGGTAATGGAAGGGGGCTGCTTGGAGTCAATGAAGCAGCAGGCATTTGGGCCAGATGTAGATGCAAAGAGGAAAGATTCAAAAGCACAATTCTCAACACAGTAATAGTGGATCTCTTTGGATGTGCACATGATCTATTTTCTTCTTTGTACTCTAGAAGAAAAGGGAAAGAAAATACAACATCCTCAAAAAAAAAACAAAACATCTTCATGAATACTGCAGTGGTTCCTCCACAGGCCAGTAGCACAATTCCCTTGAAAATCACACCCTTATCTTTGTTTTGAGAGAGGGGTGACAACCATGCCCTTGAGCGAAGTCTAAGAAAGAGGAGGAGGAGATACTCCCCATGGTACAGTAAAAGAGATTGGGCCGTGCCAGAGCTTTCAGACTCCCAGGAACATTTGCCAAAGGTGGCAGTAGAAGCCATGAGGACCTGGTCTTGTTCCAACTCAGTAATTGCATCCTGCCTGCCCCCCTGTGCCATCTCCTCTTCTTGCAGAATGCGACAACCCTCATCCTGAGCAAAGCTGTTGGGGAGCCCTGCTATTGGCAAGTACTTGTCCCTTTCTCTCATCTATAATAGCAGTCATTTTGCAGTTTGCTCTCTGGAGGAGCGGGATTGTTCATTGGTGCCCAAATAGAGTACCATGTCATGTTTCCATGCCCTTTGTTTTTTAACTTTTTTGGGGGGAGAATTTTAGGTATACAGAGAAATGCAGAAATGTCCCAGACATGTAATGGGTTGGTTAAGAATGTTCGGACATCATGCAATACAAGAGTTAGTAACACACATCAGAATAACTTCACACTTAGTATGAGTTTTAAACATTCCACTGGGAAAAAAATCATGTTTATAATATTCTGAACCAAGAATCTCACACTCTCATACACATAACCACATATAAAAAAATTTTTGCACATTTTTATATAGGCTGAATTTTACAAGAATATTACCAATGTAAATGGTAAGGAGGTTGGATGTTGATTAGTCAGACCTTACTGAGAACTGTTCTCTATTTTGGAAAACTGCATCACTGCAGGAAAAGTCCCTGGTGGCAAGTTAGTCACCGATACAACACACCTGAGACACGCTGTGTCTGGAGCCAGTGTTAACGCTATGCTCGTTTGGAGTCGAAGGCTTACCCATTTCAGCAGGTCTCCTGGGGTTTCATGGCCAAGCACCTATTACTGAAACATAATATTTTTATTATGAATTACTCTCTTTTCAACTCCATATTACAGCTAGACAAACAGTACTGACTATTCCAAAATTCCTTACCTGGGCAAGATGTGCTATGTATGGGATTTATTTGAATATATTAAAAAAAAGAATAAATATTTTCTATATAAAAAGATATTGACTGTTACAGCATTTCGAACCACTGGGTGAAAACAAATTGTATAGTGTACTTAGGGAGTTTGACTTGAGAAATCCACAGAACTACACTTCTAGGTATTGCCTAGTGAGCTGAAAGTCCCTGTGCACATAAATACCATCGTTTTAAGCATTGTTTGGGGGAGCTCCTGGACTGTGCCATCTTTTCATTAAAATAATTGCACGTTAAAAGTTAAGATGAGGGCCAGGGGCTTGGCTCAGTGGTTCCTCTGCCTGCCTTGCAAGCGCTGGGTCCTGAGTTCGATCCCTGGTACCAAAAAACAAACAAACAAAAAAGCAAAAGTTGAGATGAGGACCGAGGATTTACCTCAGGGGTTCACCATCTGCCTCGCAAGTGCAAGGTCTTGAGTTCGATCCCTGGTACCAAAAAAAAAATTAAGATGTTGCTTTTCTCTATTGCTGTCTGTTTGTATACAATTCTACTGCTAGTTTCAAGCCATTTTCTATATCGAGATGTGTGGGGTCATGCCTAGCAATGTTCATTCACTTATTCATTCAGTTATGGATTAAGAGCTGTCCGGGTGTCAGGCCCTGTACAAGCACCTGGAAAGGCCTGTGATGGGGTAGATGGACCCGAGCTCACAAAGGTCTTGGGTGGATGTGCATGGCAGGCGTGGAGCACATAACTAGCATAGTGAGGTGACTATTGTTCTAAACATGTGCAAGGTGCACTGGGGATCTGAGGTTGACCCGAGGAGCTAGCATTTGTGCTGAGACCAGCAGGAAGATGGGGGAATTGTTCGAAGCACTGTAAACATCACACACAAAAGCCCAGAAATAAGAGTGCAGTACACTCAGTGCAAATTCATACGTTTTTTGAATTTTCCGTGAGGAAGCAGAGATTTTCCATTCACAATTATCAAAGCTTTTGCTCCAGCTAAATACATTCACTGCGAAAAATTAAATATTTCGACAATAAGTACCTTTCACATAATTTGTTAAGTGTATTATTTTTTGTTTCTCTAATAAGAGAGAATTTGAAAATTCTCTCTTTAAGTGTCTTTCAAGACACTTAAAAAATATAAAAACTAAAGACGTGTGACTATTTTTAAAAACAGGAAGGAGATGGGAGCGATGTGTCCCCTTTTTTTAGGCAAGGTACAATCCCACCAGTGCTCACACTCTTCCAATGATGGCTCACAGAACCAGGTGTCACGTATTTATTCAGCCATCTGGACAGGTCCTCTTCCTCCTCCTTCTTGGGGAGAATGCTGACAAGCCTCCAAAGAGTTGGGAGGGAAGAGATACACCTCATATAAATGCAGAATCAAAGAGCTTAGGGCAATGGAGATTTCTTTAAAGAGCAACGGAGGCAAGAAACAAACAGTGATGTCAGGAGAAGGATGAAAGCCAAAAAGAAAGTGGTAATAACACTTGAAGAACACCATATGGCATTTATATGTCATGCTTTTCATTTCAAATGTTGATATTTGCCTTCTTGTTGGTCCCAGTGCCAATTCTGTTACAATACTTAGTAAAAAATTCATTTTTTAAAAAAGAAACCATACTGAAGCTCCTTACACTCTATTCTTAAAATCATACCTCAAAAAATCCTTTTCCTTTTTTAACTGCATGATATATACCCGTTTCTAATTGTTCAAACTAATCTGCAGAGCAGTGTCAGAATTAGAAGAGAAAGTCCTAATATGAGACCCCCAAGATAGCTCTTTTCACTGGTCAGCAGTAAGAAGAGCCCCGGGAGTGAGGGTATAAATTAATAGACCGCTAAATATTAATGATGATTGTTTAGAAATCAGTCCTCTCGGCCATTCTCCAGGCTCACGCAGAAAGACAGTTGATATTGCTGACTGCAAAACCCTTTTCTGCCAAGGAATGGGAAAAGCTAACAGAGGGGATACTGCTGGGTCTAAGCAAAGAAATAATGGGAATAACAGAATCTGAAAGAGAGAGATGGCATTTGAGCTCAGCCAAACCCATCTGCCCATCCTAGTTGAGATGTGAAGGGCCAGGTATCTTTGGGGAGGAGACTTCTATCTTCTTTTTGAATCTTTCAGGACAATTTTGATGCTTTCCAAAAAAACAAAATAATCCAAGTGTTCAACATTTAGGAAGAGCATAAGCAAGCTGAGATGCAATCAGCATATCACTCAAATAGATTCTTTTTCGTTCTCTAAGCGTTTTCTTCTCTCTTTTTCTTACTAGAATCTCTGTAGGTGGTAAAATATGTGCAGAAACAATTGGAGCCAGTGAAGTTCAGCCCAGGCCGGAGAGCATGGCCTTCCCCCCGGCACCAGCAGAAGGGCAGGGCCATGCTCAGTGGACTCCGGAGAACCCAACCGACCAACCGAGCAACTGGCCATCTGTATTCCTCGCTTCTGTCTCTGACTCTCAAAGCCCTCGCTGAGTCATAGCCAATGCAGCTCTTCCTTGGGCAATGACTGATGACTGGGGTTTTCTCCCAGACCGGCCTACATCCTGCCACCTATCTGTTGGCTTCCACCTCTGTTACTGGCCTTGCTCTAGCTCCCTTCACTTCTCCAGCCCCATGGGCCCCCTGCTCAGGAAGGGCAGGACAGGAGGCAACACCAGCATGCATCTCTGCTTCTTTCAGGTCTGTTGGAAATGCCGTGGAGTCTACACATCCTGGATGAGAGGATAGGAACCTGGTTCTTGCCTTTCTCCTCCCAACCCGTTCACAATCAATCCGTATTTACCCAGATCTCCCAAGTGCTGAGCACTCAAAGCTACTGCAGGGGCACAGGACATGACAGGCACAGCAGCACTTCGCTTCAAGGCCTTTATGCTTTACCTGACAGTTATAATACGTTAATAAGAGAAAACAGGTGTTTGATGTCCAATGTGCAAGCTAGAATTCACAAGACCCTCCCCTGGGGTCCAATCACTAATAAGGTGCTATTGTAGCAGTGAATAGTGCTTACTGAGGGCTGTCTTTGTGCCAGGCGCTGCTCATCTACATCAACCAGGTAGCAAAAGAGATAGGTGTTAGAATAAAGAACCTGAGGCACAGCCTGAGCTCACAGGGCTGGCAAGTGGCAGCCGCTTAGGTACTAAGGCAGTGTGGCTGCGGAGCCTGCCCGTGCTGGCCCTGGTATCATTCTGCATGACATTATAGACACCGGTCTTACGCATGTCTGTTTGCTCCTTGAGAGAAAACACAGTCTCCTGTTGACTGCTAAGTGTCCCCATAGTGTTGAGAACACAGTAGGTGTTATTTGATAATTGCTTATTAAAATGACTTGGGGAGAGATATGAAGAGCAGCCATGGTGGGGGGCCTTGGGACTGAATCACTATGAAATGAATAAAAGGATTTCAAAGTCAAAAAAGAGGCCTGGTGGAAACTGGATGTCATCAATATGCAGAGGCCTGAGTCTGCCTGTCATGGAGTCGCCCTCCCTCCTGCCAGGGAAGCAAGGCTAGGAAGAGCACAGGGACCCAGCTGGAGGTGAGGGGAGGTGCAAGAGGGAGGTGAGACATGGAGCATGGCCCCTCCACTCTGCCCCCGAGTGGCACAACAGCATCTAGAGAGCTGGGATGAGGATGCCGTCAGACTGCAACCGATCAGGCACTGTCCTTGCGGCTTACAGGAGTTGGAATTAAAAAAAAAAAAGCAAGTGTCTGCTAGGAAACAAAGAAACAGGAGCTCTGTGCCTTGCTGGTGGAAATATAAAATGGTGCATCCACTGCAGAAAACAGTAGGGCAGTTCTGCAAAAAAAGCAAGTCTGTAATTACCGTGTGATACAGCAATTCCATCACTGGGTATATATCCAAAATAATGGGAAACAAAGACTTGAATGGAGATTTATATATTGATGTTCACAGCAGCATTTATGACAATAGCTGAAAGACAGAAGCAACCTAAAGTCTATAGACAAATAAATGGATAAACAAAATGTGGTATACGCATACAGTGGAATATTACTCAGCCTTAAAGAGGAAGGAAATGTTGACACATGGTACAACATCTCTGAAGACATCATGCTAAATACAATATGCCAGATCAAAACTACAAATGACTCCACTTGTGAGGCACCTAGAGTAAGTAGCCGAATTCCGACAGACAGAAAGTAGGATGGTGGTTGCCAGGAGCTGGAGGAAAGTGGGAGTTTGAGAAGTTGTTGTTTAATGGGTACAAAGTTTCATTTGGGAAAGATGAGAAAGTTCTGGGATGGACGGTGGTGATGGTTGCACAACACTGTGAATGTATTTAATGCTGCTGCGCTGTACATTTAAGAACAGTTAAGATAGCACACTGTATACTGTGTATATTTTACCGTAACAAAACAAGAGAATAAAGAATAAGGGAAACTTGAAGTTAGTTTTCAACCAGCTCCTGGAGTTAGTTTATAGGAAAAACGAATTTATTTGTAACAGTAACTATGCCAGAACAAAAATGTTAATTTCATAGAAAAAAAAAAAAACTTAGACCAAGTTCGATCCCCGGTACCAAAAAATAAAAAAATAAAAAATAAAAACTTACAATGACATGGAAACAGGGTGGTAATGTGAAAAGCCACTATACTCAATTTTTCAGACCATAGGAATCCCTTTCTAAAATAATCCTTTTAATAACTAATAACTCCTTGATCCCCACATAACAAAACAAATTTGGGTACCAACTGATACCATGAACTCAGGAATCACCCTTTAAAATTAAATAAATCAGTGCTGACAAACCTTCTGTATACATTTGAAAAAGGGCAGTTCCCACGTGAAGGAGGCATGTTGTTTACTCTGTCTACCAGCAATGCTTGATGTACAAAAGGAGTCTCTGATCTTCTAAAATAGCACAGCAGGCCCCTGGGGACCCACCACCCACAGGGTGAGAACTGCAGGAGCTGGAAACTCAGAAGTAAATTTCCAATGCACAGCATAAAGCCAGTAAGTCAAAAATGCTGTGATGCACAAATGCAGCTCTTCTCAGATAATAAAAGACCATGCACCCCCACCTGACCTCGGAAATACAAAGCTTTTCCTCTAACAGGAAAGTACATTTCCTAGGCTAGACTTAGGTCAAGCAAGCAGTCTCTTGGGAGCCCTTCCCTAGGCAAAGCCCCCAGAGCTGCTCAGCAGAGTGACTGCATATGGCAGGTAGGGGGCAGTGTCAACCTGATTAGCTTTGGTCCCCACCTGGGGGATTGGTAGACCATGCTTCTGGGTGGTTCTGGGAGGCGTGGTCCTAGGGTCTAGGTCTGGTGCCTGGCCCCTCTTTCTCTGAACTGTTTCCTGCTCTCCTTCCCAACTGCCATGAACTAAGCAGCTTTGCTCCACCGCACCTTTCTGCCATGAAGTTTCTCCCTTGGAACCAGCCAACCATGAACTGAATCCTCCGAGAACACGAGCCACATTAAACCCCTTCTCCTTTAAGTTGTGTGTGTTGGTTATTATGTCTCAGCAATGGGAAGGCTGACTCATACACTACACATTCCTGTCTTGCTGTCACCACTCAAGAGAGTTACCCTTTGGAATGATGGTTCAGGATACTGGAACACCTCTCAATAAAGATCTGTGGTCTCGCCATCTTCTCTTCCCTAAGATCAAAAATCCCAAAGTGATTAGGAAGTTATCAATGACTCCAGACATTTCAGCCATTTAGAAATCAGTGCCATTCTAGTATAAACACAATGATCCCCTGCCCAGCTCTATGGTGGGCAGCTATAACTCAACAAGGGCATCTCTCAGTTTTTAGGAAAATAATTTGTTAAAAGCTACACCAGTAGGTTATGACTTTCTTAGCTTACAGAAGTAACATGAAGCTAAATGCAAAACAAGAAAAAATACATTTACATTGATAAATATAATTTTTTTAAATTCTATAAAAGAAGGGGCAGGGGATTTAGCTCAGTGGTTCTGCCACCTGCTTCATAAGCACAAGGTCCTGAGTTGGATCCCTGCTTCCAAAAAAAAAAAAATCTATAAAAAAGCAAAGGATTATTATTCAATCAAATCACTGCCTTCCAGAGAAACCAAACTAGCCTTAAAATTGGTGATAAAGGGTGAACATGGGAAATCATCTATCTATTAAGCTTATTTTATGGTACTAATGAAAATGTGAGTGCTAATAAAAATGTTGCATTAAATTCATAACTCAAAAGTACCTGTAAATTTTAGATACAGTTTACCATGTGGTAGATGTAAAGTATCACTGGACTTTCAGTAGCTCCAAAATGCAAAGATATAAAACATTTAAATTAATAAAACTCCTGGCATTCTAGGAAGTGATCATCTCCTCAATGCAAAAGACCTAGCAAATAATAAATACCCATAAAATTTTCTGGACAGTTTCCTCTGTTAGATGATGCTTTAGGAAAAACTATTTCTACATCGTTATTTTAGGGCTGGGATACCAGATAGAAAGAGAAAATGAACAGGTAATCCAAGTCCCAAATTTCTTTTGTCCAAACAGCTTGAGGACTTGGGTCAAGTATGGAAACAAAATTGACCTAAATCAGTCATACTGTTATGTCGTGACAGGGATCTGAGGGCCTAGAAGTCTCCAGTGGCACGACCCTCATATCCCAGGGTTGTCCTATACCCCAGTGAAGAACGGAGAGGCAGGGCCAACTCAAGGCCAAAGATCCCCCAAGTGGTAAGAAGTCAGGTCATCCTGGGCACAGAAGGAGGAACTCAGAAAACAAAAGTAATGTGAAGCAGAGGTTTATTAATAATATGGCAGAAGTGGGGACTGCCAAACAGTGAAATGTATGGCAGGGAGAAGCTTGGAAGATGAGCTTCTCAGCCTGGTGTCTTTGTCTGGTCCACACTTATAAGGGTCATCCAATTTTCTAAAAATAGCTGTTTCACTGATTGGTACAATCAGGGTCTTAGCCTTTGTTTGTGGTGTGAGCCAAGGTTCACAGGATCTATGGGCACATGGCAAAAGTATGCAAAGGTCCCACAAAGGGCAGCCTCCTCCAGCACATCACGTCATGAGTAAGCGTGTGGTCATCT